AAATAAATAAATAAATAAAAAACTCTGCCTTGGATTCTTAACCCTTTGATGCATGAACCATGATATACTGAGTTAAAAAATGTTACTAAGTGTTTTTATGTGTTTTTAGACATAAAAATAAGAACTGATTTGGTTCTGTTTTCATACACCAAATTTTCTTTTTGAATGTCGACACAATTATTCTGCGGTTGCAAAGGCTGACCACTGTATGGCAGTGTTGGGTGATTCTCAGGCGTCCACTGTCGAGGCTTACTGTATATGCAACACTGCCATCAAAACCTATTCTTATGATAGAAAATGACATTTTCATAGCTGTCCACTGTAGTGACCGTCATGCATGAAAGAGTTAAAGAAGCTATGATTTGAAATACACATATATTTTTTTATTTAAAAGACAAATGATAAAATATCGGTATCGGTATCGGCGATACCAGCCCAAATTTTACTCGGTATTGGATCGGAAAGGAAATTGGTGGTATCAAACATCACTACTTCACACATACAGTCATGTAGAAAGATGTTCTATTACCGCGTTTTCTGGACTGTAAGTGGCACCTTTTTTTTTCATCCTTTGCCTGGGTTTGCAACGTATACTCAGGTGGGATGTCAATATGTCATTTCACACGTTTGTTGTTTTCACACTGACAGTCACTAGAGGGCATCCTAGGCTTGTGTACCAGTATCTGCTACTCCTGTACCACTGAAAATGTACATGTGTTTGTTATTTTCAACACTGACAGCCGCTAGAGGGCACACACGCGACTTGTACTCCAGAGCGACATATATGTTTTTTTCTTCTTCGTTTTGCATTTTGTGCAAAATGTGCACTTTGAATACAAAATTCCAAAACTGGCAACTTATCAGAACAATTACATTATGTTCAGATAAACACAAGTTCTGTTCTACATATAAATACTATTTATTTTAGTTTTAGTATTTCAATAAATGCAAATAATTGTGTTTTATGTTTTGGCTTCTCAAACCCCCTAAAATGTCAGGTGATGCAGCTGCCCGAGCAAACGGGCAGACTAAGGAAACTTTTATTTAAATTTTGATAGTTCTAAATAATATACTCATTATTTTATGTTTGAAGCCATTTGGATATTTTTTTTAAAAATTAAGATAAAATCAAGAGTTTTGATTCGGTTTATTAATCAGTGGTTTAAAGTTCTTCCCGCTAGGTGGCCTGTGGGCACTGTGGCGATTGGCTGATCCCAGAAGCAGGTAGGTTTGGTCTCAATAGGTGCAGTATATACTGTACGATGGCAGTGGTTTGGAAGAAAATCGGTACCATAATTCAAATTAAAATGCATTAGCAGAATTGCTTTTTCATTTGCAGAATATAGTGGCGCTTTGGCCCAGAGGCAATGTCTCTGTCACAGGTGTGGACTCGAGTCACACGACTTGGACTCGAGTCAGACTCGAGTCATCAATTTGATGACTTTAGACTCGACTTGACAAAATGTAAAGAGACTTGGAACTCGACTTGGACTTTAACGTCAATGACTCGTGACTTCACTTGGACTCGAGCCCTTTGACTCGACAAGACTTGATACTTTCTCCAAAACCCAAAGTGATCTGTGTAAATATATTATAATTTTATTTAAAAGGACTCGAAACAGAAACGTAAGGACTCGGGACTTGACTTGACACTTTTTAGTCTTGACTTGGACTCGACTCGGACTTTGCCTGTCTTGACTTGAGACTTGACTCGGACTTGGGTGCAAAGACTTGAGACTTCGTTATGACTTGCAAAGCAAGGACTTGGTCCCACCTCTGGTCTCTGTCATTGGTGTAGAACCCCAGGGTTCACCTCCTGGGCAAGTTCAAATCCCGGTTAGGGCGGTTGGTACCTTCCAGTGGACTCACTACCTGCCGGAAGGTTTGGGGGGGTTGGTACGGTGCAGTGTGATTTGGGTGGAGGTCATGGAGACTGCTGCCCCGCGACCCGGTAATTTTATGCATTTTATGACTCATAAATACAATTAATAATCAACCATCCAAATTGCATTTTCAGTTTCTACTTCAAGACTGCTCATTCTGTGACTTATTTCAAATGAAAAAGAAAAAGATTTTTAAGATTTCATTTTCAAAGTTTGCCCCAGCAAATAAGTACCTAAATTATTTTTAAATGTAAATTTGAAATAAAATAAAATGCATTCGCAGAATATGTTTTCATTTTCAGAACAAACTTGCATTTTATGACTTTTATAAAAAAAAATAAAATCAACCATCCGAACTGCATTTTCATTGTTTTCTTCCACACTGCTCATTCTGTCTTCTTCTTTTTCTTTTGGCTTTGTCCCTTTTTTTTCAGGGGTTGCCACAGCAGATCATTGATTTCCATCTCTCCCTGTTCTCTGTATCTTCTACTCTGACTCCAACTATCTGCATGTCCTCCCTCACTGCATCCATATAT